TGGAAAAGCTATTTCTTCTTTCTGCTTATTTAAATAAGAATTTAGTTCGGGAAGCTTTAGCAAGCTACTTGGGGGAAAAAAAACCAAACAACACTATAATTGTCAGAACGTAAAAAGCAATACTGACCCTAGAGTTCTTTACTTAAACTTCTACATCAGTATTTTGCTTCCAGGCTAAATATTGAACCAACCAGGCAGTACTTAGGGACTTAGCTTCAACTAACATTTGCTTTATAGTTACCCCAAGCCATAGCGTTTGGTATTTAAAAGAGGCTGACACTGAAAATTCATTTAAAGGTCCACTTCACTCACTTCATGTTTTCACAAATAACTCACTGATTAAAATGACGGAGAACATAAAAAAAATATTAAAAGAAAGTAATCTCACGTGCCATCTGCATGAGACATAAATAATGCTATTTCCAAATTTAAAGGTGTGAACACACAATATCGGAGATTTGAAACAATCATTTTTCAATTTTAGCTGTATTAAACCTGAGCTACTCATTTATGCCTTATAAGAAATCAGGAGAAAAATAGTTATGAATAGCTTCAGTTTCTCAGCTATAACAAAAAATATCTTTAATCTTAAAATACTTTAAGTCAAATAATTTAAGTAATAAAAGTGTCTTGCCTGTCTGTAACTGTTATTTAAACTAAAAACAAAACCAAAACCAAAACAAAACAACAAAAAAACCCCACAGAAGTTTTATTGCTTCTTTAGTAATTTAAGGATTGCTGATGTAGCACACCAAAATATATACACACTTTATCAATATCTTGATTCTTGAATAAATCTTATTTATTATCACACACAAGACCTTCCATGAGTAAATGATAAGGCACTTGTTCCTAGTTTATTTGAATTGGGGTTTTTTTGAGGAGGAATATTCTCACTCTCATGGTTTCATTTCCCAGCATTTCTAAGGGCTTTTTTTTCACAGAACCATAGAACCATAGGATGGCCTGGGTTGGAAGGGACCTTAAAGATCATCTAGTTCCAACCACCCCTGCCATGGGCAGGATCACCTTTCACAAGACCACTATTCCCGAAGAATATTTCTTCTTTTCAAGCTAATAGCCTGAGATACACAAGATAAGAAAAAACTGCCCAAAATTTTAAAAATTCCAGTCAAGATAAAAATCACTCTAACATCAAACCTGAATTTTTCAAGTCTTTCCTAAAAGTTTTGATTGCCTGCCAGTGCTAAGTACTACTACATCAAAATACTTTATCAATAACCGATTTATATATATGTGATGCACTACTGAAAAGGCAAAATTTATGTTCACTGCCAAACTTGCTATCAAATAATATATAATAAACACAAGATTTTAAGCAGTAGAAAAATTTTGACTGCCATGAGAGTACTAAAAAACCAGCATGTATATTTGATGATTATTAAGGTATATGAACCATCAATTAATTGTAACTTTATTTATGACTGGTTTAATGTGTTCTGAGCAGGGAAAGCCCTTTTTTCTTGCTTGTAGCTGTCTAAACATATTCAAAGTGATGTTGTCATGTTCATGACACATTACTTTTAACCTGACACTTTAATCAACTCTTGAATGCTAATCAAGCAGTGACATATGGAAGCCATATTTCTGATTTTAAGGAACTAAAGCAGGAATAACTACAAAGAAAAAAGCAAAACTTGTTTGTGTACTCTGCCTAACACCTTCCCTAAAATCTACACCAGTACAGACATACAACTAGAGCAAGATGGAGCGTTATGAATCCCAGACAGCAAGGGCACGTGGTGGTATCCACCGGGAAGATTAACCTCACTTGCCTTGTGCCAGGGATTTCCTCTTACTCCTGGCCTGAAGTTCCTATATTCTGCCTAGGGATAAGCATTGTACAGTTTTAATAAGGATTTAGAAATAAGACTTCTGCTATTGCTAATAGGAGATGCATGACTAATTCTCAGTGCATGTGGTAGAAAGACGACCTGAGGGTCTGTTCTGTTTTCAGCTACAGATTGATTTCATTTCAGAACCTAAATGGAACTCTTGAAAATCCTGAATTAAAAGCCTGATTTGGGTCTATTTTATTCGGATTGACCTCCCCTGTGGTGAGACTGCAATCCTCAGAAACAGGCAAATAAATTAACTCCCTAGACTTTCCCCTGTCTCTGCGTAGGTTTTGGCACCAGACCCAGGGAAGGAAAAAAACCCAAACAACCAACTTTCATAATATTTCTTTCTGCAATCAAATAAGTCACAAAGTAATAACTGGGATGCAGCAAATGGATATTTTGTAATGATATATCATATATTTCTATGGTGAAATAAAAGGTACTACTTCACAAGAAGTTCATCACTGTATTTCAAAATAAGCAAATTATTATACATGTAGGAAGCCAAAGAATATTATTCTATAGCACATATTAGGTTTCAAGTTTAAATGGGTGGTGCACCATTACAGAATTACTAGCCAAACTGTTTTCCCATTTTCAAAAATCTAAGTGGACGAGAAATTGTTATTCATATTTTAAAAAATCATACATAATCATAAATAATAACTGCAAGAAAAATGAAACTTAAATAAGAAAGAAAGATTTAATAGATAACATATTGATGATCTTAAAGGTCTTTTCCAACCTTAGTAATTCTATGATTCTATGATTAAGAGTCAGTGAATCCTAAATTCCCAGCTTCATACAGAAAAAAATTAATTAATGTGACAAAGTGTGATTGACAGGTCCAAATGAAAATTCAGACTGCATGTGGCTCTAATAGTAATTGTCCCTCTCCCCTAGAGACAACAACCTGCTACTGTAAGAGGCAAGAGAAGTGAAAACCAATCTGAAGGAAGAATAAGCAAGTCAAATATTCAGTCATTGAAAACTATTCTGTGAGATCCAAAGAGCAATTCTTTGTTTCTCTTGGCATCCTACAAAACATACATAATAAAGGACAAAAAAATAAATCTGCTTCCCAAGGTGTAATTCAGTAAAAAAAAAAAATTGGCTTCCAAGCAATAAAAGTTGTAAACTGCGTCTCATCCACTGTTTCTAAGAAGGATTTGTTGTCATACCCGTGTTGTAAATGCTCCCTAGCACACTGTGATGTAGACAAGGAATTGCAGATACTATTTTCAAAGTGTACAATTGTTCCCTAGTATAGTGGACACTGAAACCTCTATCAGGAAATGACAGGTTAGCTCCTGTGAACAGGAAGAAAAATGAAAACAGTGTTCTAGATATGTTATCAGTCTTTCCAGGGTCATAAAAATTGCTTGTAGATTATATTGTAAAAAGATAAAAACATAATTCTACATTGCTGAATGACTACATTCCAACTGCTCACTGTGTTCTGATGACACATGGACTTTGCAACTATAAAATAAAACCTGGTGATCATTTTGTGTTTGTTGGGAGGAAATCTGTGATTTTGAGGTATTCTCATGCTGTTATCTCATGAAAATTCCATCTCTAACTGAAGGTTACCCAGCCACACAAGAAGCTGATTTTTCTGACATAGAATTGCAGTCTTCCTGGTAATTTTCTAGGTTTTCACGTCTCTGGTAATAAATATAAAAGCCAGATCCAAAGAATCATGAACCATACATGTTGCACATGCAGTTGCCTCTCTCCAGAAATGTACATTTCTGTCTGTTATTTTCATTTTATTAGATACTAAAGTTGTACCTTTCCTATGGAAGTAATAATCTGTCTTCATTTTTAGGTTGATGGGATGTACAGTAACATTACCTAGCATGCATTTTTAAGGGATAGAAGTGTCTTTAGGAGTACCACCTAAGATCTTAAATTCAATGTAACAATACAACATTTTACATACTGTTATGATGACAATCTTATATCAAAGTTCACATGGTGTTTATAGATATCCTAATAATGCAAGACAAGGTTTTATAACATCTCATAACAGTGAAGTATCAATTCTCTTCAAACCAAAGCAAAGGAAATGTCCTGTTAGTTCTCTGTAATCCTGCATTTTTGGTGCACTTTAGCTCTTATTAAAGCCAGAATCCCAGAATAATCCTCTAGGTCTGTCAGTCAAGCACACCATGTAAGAGTACGAGTTACGATGATTCTTTCCCCCATCATACTGACATTTCCATTTTCATGTCATTTATGGAAGCTGCACGCAACTGTGGCCACGAATTTTAAAAAGCTCAGGGTCACACTAGGGTCTCTTTCCTCCTTATGAGACTTTGAAAGGGGAAAAAGATCGCATACTAGAAATTAGGACCCTAAATTGAAAAAAAAAAAAATCAAAACTTAAAAATGTATGGATCCTATTTAATTTTCCTTTCCCCTTTTTAAAAACATGCAACCACTTTGAATGCTGAAATGTCTTCTTATTATATGAAGATTTTTGCTTGATGATGAAGACAGGAAAAGGAACTTATTTACATCTTGAAAGATAAATACTTCAGTTTGAAATACAACTAATGAATCCTCAGCAGAATATGCCTTTTTTTCCAGAGTTTAGAAAGACTTTATGCAAATTCTCTGTTAAAGTCTGTTACTGCAATTCTAGAAATCACTGCATGCAGTATTGGTACTACTCTCTCACACAGTATGTTATTTACCTGAATGGTATCTGATTTTTGGGATACTCAAAAATATTTTCAGAACTCACCTCTGCCTGAGGCCAAACAGCATGTAAATAAGAGCTGTCAAGAATTGTTTGTTTTAAATGAGAACAGTATAGAGAAAGAATGGATCAGAAGGTTAGAATATTTAAGAGTTTCATCTCATCTCATCTCCAGTTCCATTTGTGAAACTCAGATCCAACCCCAATGGATCTCTTTAACTGTGGCTCCTACTAATTCATAAAATGAATTGTATGTCTAATAGAGCACATCTCTGAAGTATTAGTGAAAGAAGTAAAAGTGACAGTAAGCACAATCCTGCACTAAAAATGGTGGCAAAAATTTAGTTTGGAGGTTATTTGTTTTAAGAATGGGACCCAACTAATGAGCTTAGTATTAAAATATAAGATCACTTTGTTCACATGCTACTTACAGCCTTCATAAATATCTGTTGGTATGTGGACTGCTGCATGTTGGTAAGACGTTTGCCGTCGGAAAACAGGATCATCTTCAAATACCGGTCTGATTCTCTGGCTGCCAGATTCAGTGTCATTCTTTTCAGGCTTTTTAAAGAAAGACATGTAAAGGGCAAAATATTACAATATTGCTAAAAACAATTCCATTCACATTTGCCTCTTTTTACCTAAATGATTCATAACCTTTCTTTCATTGCTAACATTTTGTATTTGTGTATAAACACAATCAGTTGCTCCAGGTCCAGGAATACTTTTGTATAGTTTTCTTTTAATTTTGAGTTATGCAATGAAAGTCAGTGAAATGAAGAACTGCAAAAGAAAAGTAAGAGCCTAACACCTTACATGTCTAATTTTTTCATAAGCACATGTAATTTTTACAACTATAATGCAAGGCAAGTACATTACCTTTTATTATGTTTAATATTTTGTACTGAATCTTAAATATGAACACTGTATCTTATTTTTTTCCTTCTGCAGATTATACAGTAAATCACAAAACTAAAAATGATACCACTCATATACATTTCATAAATGGATTTTTGAGAAACTGTGGTGTAAATTCAGACAAAGAAAGGAAATTAAGCCTTCTTAGAACTTCTGACTGAATCAGGATTTGTTCACTGGTCTATTTTAACAATGAAATCTCATGAACTGGCTATATCTGACTGGGTGGAAGTGTCCCCAAATGCTCAGGTGCTCACCATCACCTCTCTGTCTTAGGTTCCCATCCTCTCTTACCTGTCTGCACCCTGATACACATTTCTTGATTCCTTCCAATTGATTCAGTCAATTTGGACTAGTTCTTAAAAATTTTGAAAAGCAGAGATTTTTCTAACTCATTAGAAAAATTACATGGAGTGTGGAACCAAGGAGGTAGAGAAGGCCCAGGAGGAGGTGGCAATATCTTCACCTGTCTCAGCTGCAGCTGGAACAGGAGGCCTCACGACATGAGTCGACTGCCACTTATAGCAATAACAAATCAACCATGATACTGAATGGTTACTCAGGTCAGCAATTGTAGGCAATTATAAGGATATTTTTAATACTATAGAGTCATCAGTTTCTGAAAATGTGTTATGCTTGATAAATAGTGCTGACAATGAAGCACCTGCTGGTCAGTCAGGCACATGTGTGCTGAAGCTATTCTGCTTATTATTATACCCTATCAAAGTATAGGCAGCTAAATTTTAACTTACCCACAAAGTCATCTAATGAACTGCCTATGTTTTCTCATCTGCTTCATCACAGGGTTACAGACAAATGGTTTACTAAATATAGATTCAAATGTTGCCTAAAGTAAGCAGCAGTCTCAGATTGGTTTCAAGGAACTGGTTTCCTTTGGAAACACAAAGGGCAGAACTCATCTAACCAGAGACATCCACTGTGTTCAACAACATAGTAGTGTTGTGCTCATCATCCCAGGCTGCCTTCTTAGGCAAGGAAGAGAAACGGTCATGTTTAGAGTACAATTCATCTCATCTTAATTAGATGCCTATTTTCCCATGACATAAATCATGCTTTAGAAGTGTCTCCTACTTTTGACTGATTGTAAATGTAGCCATAGGGAAAATCACCCAGATGCAAAAGTCTGCAATACAGCTGTCTAGAATTAGGTGAGATGGATCTCACAACACAAGTTTATTAAGTTTTGGTAGAAAAGAAGGTGGGTACTAATTCTGACTACTTTTATGCAGCACAGCTGCTATATTTTACACTAAGTTCACCTTGTTATTTAGTACCTAACCCCACTCTGGGGGTGGGCAAGAGATTGGGAGGGGTCATAGCCAGGACAGCTGACCCAAGCTGACTAAAATGATATTCCACAGCTAAGGATGTTGTGCTCAGCAATATAAGCTAAGAGAAAGGAGGAGGGAAGGCAGGCATTTATCATTAAGGTCCTACTTCCCAGGATGTGTCTGGACATCACATGTTGATGGGAAGTAAGGAATAGATCTTTTTGTTTTCTATTGCTTCAATGTGTAGCCTTTGCATTTCTTTTCTTTATTAAACTGTCTTTATCTTGATCCACGAGCCTTTAGTGGTCTTATTTTCTCCCCTCTGTGCTGCTGGGGTGGGGGTGTGATAGAGAAGAATGTGATAGAGGACTTGGTGGGCAACTGGCAGCTGGTCCAGGTCAGTTCCCCACAACCATTACACCTTACTCTGAACTGTGCAAACTGGAGCAAGGATTGGTACAATTTATGCATTATATGATTTGAAATATATGCATTCTGATAGCTTCAGACAATGTAATTTGGCTCAATTTTTACATAGAGTTTATTGTTGTTGTTGTTGCTCATTTGTTTAGGGTTTTTTTAGGGGGCAGGGATTTGTTTGGGGTAATGGTGGTGGGTTTTTTTAGGTTTTGGGGTTTTTTTGTGGGAAGAGGGTTGGTTTGGTTTGGCTTTTGTTGTTGCTGTTGTTGTTGTTTTCCTCTATATTATCACACTAGACTTTTTCTTCCCTCAGAACTGGAATGCTAAACATTAAGCAAATTCTGGAGTCTTTTTCACAAATTATCTTTCAGCTTCATGCTGCTCAAAGTAATGAGTTTGTCTAGTTCTACAAATGCTATCTCAACAATCAATCATTCATGTGACAAAATTTCCCTCCTGCCTGAGAGTAATTTGATTTAAAAAAAAAAATCCTAACTATTATTTCTGAAATTACACAACTACAAACTCAGTGCTTTCACAGATAAATTCAGAAAAGAATTGAGAATCATCAGGGCACATTATTACAACAAAACACCAGAATGAGTGAATGTCAAAAGATTTCTTTCAACTAATTTTCCACAAGATATATTTGGGAGGGAAAGGGTATGGTAAAGAGAAAGGGGGTAAACATAATTATAGTATATCCTGAGTTGGAAGGGACTAGATAGGATCATCAGAGTTCAGCTCCTGGTCCTGTATAAGACAGTCCCAAGAATCACATCATGTGTCTATGGTCCATCCTAGCAGGTCTTGCACAGAAATTTTCATATTAAGATACATAGATTTTTGCTTGAAATTCCTGAAGCATCTGAACATAAAAGGATCATGTTTCTTCTTTTTGATATTTCAATTTCATTCCAATTAAGAAATACAACCTTTCAGTCTCTCCATTCACTCATATGCTATGAAAGAAGATTCAAGTCTCCTGCCAAAATTTGATTAAACTTTGCTGAAAATTAAAGGGTTTAGTTAATAGACTTGAATGCCTTAAACTTTCAAACATAAAATCTACTTCTCACATCTCTAACAGCACACATGCCCAGGTGCCCCTAAAAAAGACTGTGATAAAGACCCAGTCTGTTATTCTTCATACCAATATTCCATGATACCAAAAAAACTCATTAATCTAAAAATTATTCTCAACTTATTAATGCAGGGTAGTGGATCTATATCTACATAAACTAATGTAGAAGCTTTCCTAGTCTTCTTGTTGACTTTTCCTGGGAGTACTTTGTGATGTACAGCTCTCATATCGAAACAAGGCATCAATCTGTCCCAAAACCCAAAGACATCAAATGACAAAATTCTTTTAAAATTACATAGTTTCCCTTACACAGGAGCATTTTGTTCTATTAAATCTAAAGCTCTTGACTACTTCTACACACAACAGATAAGTATCAGAAGCATTTTATGTAAATTACTGTTGAAGTCACTTGGGCCAGTACCTCCTGACCAGCACGACCAATGATGTGCCAGGCCTTACACATCAAATTTATAGTGCATCCTTCTATAGAAAGTCAATCTATATAGTTTTCATTTGTCAAACTTATGAATTTCAAGTAGCTTACATTTAAATTAGGAAAAAAAATAAGGAATGGTTAAAAAGAAAACCCTCAGTATTATTAATTATTTTAGTCTGGCATTTTTATTAAAAGCCTGACAGATTGTGGTGTCAGCTGGTACAGTTTAAATACCAAGTTAAACTTTGTTTTCAGGAAAGTAGCAAAATAAATATTTTGAAGGAAAGTGATCCAGCATGTGAATACAATTAAAATCCAACTCCAACCAATTTCTCTCCCAAGTCAGGAGCTGAAATGCAATCAATACTGGCACAGGAAAATCCCATGGGAGATAGTGGCTGAAGATTAATTTTCTATCTATTCAAACCTGGCCTTCCCTTATTGCATTACATTGTTACCTACCACTGACAGTCAGCAAAATAACTCACTCATTTCTCTGCAATGAATTTCCAGACCAATTTCTCTCTCCTTTGAGAGACAGATAAAATCCATTTCTCTTTTCAGTTCACGTGCCATTTCAAGACTTTTTTTTTTTTTTAACAAATAAAATATTTTTTTCATATGTCTACCATTCATCATCAGAATAAAAGGAAATTGATATAGCAGCTAAAATTCGGATAAAGTGAGTTTTCTTGTAGCCATTCTTTGTGATCTTTTCTAAATCACTTTTGGCATGATCTGCAATAAACTGGGGGCTGCCTTCTGTTTTTTTTATAAGCCAAATACATAACAGAAATAATGGGACTTCTTTCTCAAGGGCTTTGTGAACATAAATTAATGTATATACATGAGATAACTGGAAGCTTTATGCCAAGAAGTATCACTGAAAGATGTGTCTAGAAAAGTAAATATCCATTAAAACAAAATCAAACCAGGTCATTTCAAGAAACTATGACAGAGTTTAGCTGCCTATTTCATTGCAGCAGGATATATCCCGATAACTTTTTGCAGCATTCAGCTACTTTCCATCATCACAGCTATGAGAAGATGAGCAGATTTTGTATCTCTACTTGTAAATTTTCATTTAGTTGAAAAATACTGGTTACTGTGGAAATCAGAAGGTTTGTCTGCAAATATAAAACATATTTTTTTTTCTTGCAGCTGTTAAAAACTGAAGATCAGAAAGCTGATGCTAATTTAAAAAAAATCATGAGTGAAACACAGAAAAAACCCACAAGCAAACTGAAGGAATCTTCAGTTGTTTTCTGAAAACAGACTCTTTTCAGGAACAGTGTAGAGTTGATCAAAGCATCAGAACAGATTTAGCATCATGACAAAAGAATAATCTTTCAATTCCTGAATAGAAATCCATCCAGAAACAATGATACCTGCCTGCTTTCATAGTTATGTA